TTACATTTTCAAAGTTATAACTGACATGAAGCTTTAAAAATAATTTAATGCACACGCCAATCCTTCATCATCAGAACACTCAGCCAATATCTCGAGAATGAACTACAGTATTCAATTCGTTTTCATTTCAATGTTGTTGGTAATAGAATCGATTTTTCGATACATTATTTGGATGTTTTTATTTTCAAGCGGAATAAGCTTTATACTACTATGGTTGTTTTTGCGTGTACTGTAAGCTATCATAAATTCTGGGTAGGAAACAAATTTTATTCGTTTTTCACACGTATCTTGCATACTTTTGAGTTATATCAAAACAAACATCTAACTTATATGGATTGCTCTKGAAATAAATGTATTTGAAACATATGCATGTGTTCAACAAGCCCTCGTAACTGTTCAAAATCTAACAAACTATGTCCAAAATTAGAGTGCGTCTTTAAAAGTCTGGACTTCATTAAACTTTAATATTGTACTGATAAAGCCAATCTGAAGGATAAAAATCTTTCAACATTTAAAGAATTTATCAAAGAATATATTTATCAAAAACAAATTATTATTTTATATAGTTTATGAAATATTTTTTAATAAATGTATTTTTAAAAGTTTTTAGGCTCAACAAAAATCATTTTCAAACACAACTGCACAGTGGTACATTTCATAAAACTTAAAAAAAAAAAAAAATTATAAATAGTAGCATTGTATAGGTTTAAATAATGAATATTTAACGTTTTTAAATACGTATCTAAAATTTTCAACTATTAATTTATTTAGTTATGACTATGTTTAATACATTATGTTTATCATATAAGTTTTATTACCACATAACCGTAGATTAATATTATTTAATAGTTAAATGTTTAAAAAAATAAATAATTTTAGTGGTTTACATTAAATACCTAAAATTATGTATGTTAATATTAGGTAATTAAGCTGAATAATAACACTTTAATATTATGATACTAATATTATTAGAAATCTACAATTAATATNTACTGTAAGCTATCATAAATTCTGGGTAGGAAACAAATTTTATTCGTTTTTCACACGTATCTTGCATACTTTTGAGTTATATCAAAACAAACATCTAACTTATATGGATTGCTCTKGAAATAAATGTATTTGAAACATATGCATGTGTTCAACAAGCCCTCGTAACTGTTCAAAATCTAACAAACTATGTCCAAAATTAGAGTGCGTCTTTAAAAGTCTGGACTTCATTAAACTTTAATATTGTACTGATAAAGCCAATCTGAAGGATAAAAATCTTTCAACATTTAAAGAATTTATCAAAGAATATATTTATCAAAAACAAATTATTATTTTATATAGTTTATGAAATATTTTTTAATAAATGTATTTTTAAAAGTTTTTAGGCTCAACAAAAATCATTTTCAAACACAACTGCACAGTGGTACATTTCATAAAACTTAAAAAAAAAAAAAAATTATAAATAGTAGCATTGTATAGGTTTAAATAATGAATATTTAACGTTTTTAAATACGTATCTAAAATTTTCAACTATTAATTTATTTAGTTATGACTATGTTTAATACATTATGTTTATCATATAAGTTTTATTACCACATAACCGTAGATTAATATTATTTAATAGTTAAATGTTTAAAAAAATAAATAATTTTAGTGGTTTACATTAAATACCTAAAATTATGTATGTTAATATTAGGTAATTAAGCTGAATAATAACACTTTAATATTATGATACTAATATTATTAGAAATCTACAATTAATATWAAAATTAAGAACCAAGATTTTTTACGGTGTAACCTTATAATATGAAATACACTTTTTTTGYCATATTRTCGCTGATGTGTTTTGGTTCATAAATATTTTTTTGACGACTCTGGTACGTATTGTTTACAACATACAAGGATACATTTTTATTAGTTTTTCGTCTGGGAAAAGTTGAAGGAACTGTTTTCAAGTATTAGTTCATTTGTATGGTAGAAWAAAGGAAAATATATTTTCACGCCGTAGTACATGGCGTGCGAATCTGATAACAAGTAACGACTGAATTAAATGTTATTATAGTCATTTAAAATCTAAATATATAAKGTATAATTATAATGCTTTAAATATAACTCGATTYGTTGAAATAATAAAGAAGTGCAGCTAATAWTGTTATAAACAGAYCCTAAATCAAGTTTTATATTATAACAAGATTAAATATTTCACTTAGATCATGCAAATCACTTTTTTTAGTGTAGGTACAATACTATATACTCAGACGTATCTAATCATAATGTATTATAATATTAAATCTTAATATTAAGTTAAAATTGGTTGTAAAAAGTAGCTACTTTCATCCATTATAAAAACGATACTAAACAAATTTAATGTCATTATGCTATCAGATCATTCCTGTAGTTATTTTAATAATCTTTTGTGTAACTTATGAATATTTTAAATTGTTTGGGTTTTTTTAATTCCCGTTGACTATATTTTTGTATCTCCGTTAAAAAATTTGAAAATGTAAAACAAATCTTTTCTTTAAAATATGTTTATTCGGMAATTAAAAAATATTGAATATAAATTGTCTCTTTTTTATAACCGTTCAAAGCCCAAATTTGAACGTAATTGGATAAACGAAAAATAACAATTTTCACTCAAATAATTTTGGTTTATAAATATTAATCATACAGACTTGGAAATTATTGGTATTATGTGTATCATTATTKCTRTTAGAACATGGCACGAGTATTCAAAATATTTTGAGTGGTTTTGAGCTTTTTATACTATAGTATAAAACCTATATTAYCTAGTTYCAAACAGTTAATTTAATTTTTTACTTGTTCTTAAAAAAATTGCTTTTAGAATTCCTATAGGACCAAGATAATTATTTTGATAGTTTAATTTGCCATATTGAAAGTTTGTTTGAACATTCATAAAAAATATTTAGATATATATGGTATCATATATCATCGTCTAAATTGTATGTATAATATATATCTATATCGTGTATTATAATTTATATTATTAGCTGACACAATTGGAAACATACCTATAACCAGAGAGAATGAGAAATAAAGTTTTTAATGGAGTTTGTTTTCAACAAAAATTATAAAATATATTTAACTTATTCGTAGGGCATAGAATTATAATAATATGTACATTGTACTTGACATTTTWAAAATAATTTTTATAACTAAAATTGTATGGTTTAAATATTCGTAAAGAATTTDTTGGTCACTTAAACAAGTACTAATYRAWTGTTGTAATAATTTTTAGAGATTTCTGCATGATACATAACGTTTAAAAAGATGTTTTAAAAAAATATTTTAGATGGTTAGAGTTATAAAAAATTAAATATTTAGTTATAAAAAGTAAATATTATAATAATTATTCATAACACACAAAATAATAGTGATTATTTAATTTTATAGCTACAACGTTTACAACAATTAATTTTATCCAATCCAATCTAATCCAATTATAAAATTTACTTGATAAAAACAAAAGTATCCAATAATTTAGATTCTGAGCAGAGAATTAGTCATACTTTTTTTTTTTATTAATACATTTTCAGAAAATACTCAAAAGAATGGCTAAAGTATTTATTTTTTTTGGAAATAATTAAATAAAAATAAATTTTATAACTTTATCAAAACATTAAAATAAATTAAACTATAAAATAATATTGTAGTTCTTAGCATTTTGAGTCTTATTATAAAACCAGAATTTTGATATCTCCATTATTATGGGAGATATCTCAATGGGTAAATTCTCGAGGGACACTTACATAGGTAACTCTGTTGGTTTTACATATCTTATCATGATATATTAAGTATATGAGTTCTATACTATGTTTAAAAAATTGTATAATATATAAAACTTACGTAGGAATGTTAATATTCTTAAGGATTATTTTACACATTTTGATTTGAATCAAAATACAGGCAGCTAAAAATAAAATACCACCTAATTTTAATTATTTAAAGCACACTAGTTCAATTGATTATCAACTGAAGTTATCTTTAAACTATATAATAGTGCATCGTTGTGGTTAACGTCCACAAAATATAATATCAAACTTACATTTTAAGCTAATAATAAAATCTTGTCAGCCTCTCACGTCAGCCTAAGTCTCTCTACTTAGTCATTTTTTATTTTTTTCCGAAATGGAAATACAAAAATGTCTAGGATTTAATTTTTATAATACAATACATACCAATGCTGGATAGTCACAGTTTAAAGTATTACATTGTATGATTATTTTTGAAGTAAAAATATTAAACACGCGTGTATAGGCAGTGTAAAGTGTGCAACATTCGGTTTCTTTGTCGGTACCTACTTATATTTATGGTTTAATATCAAAACCATTATTCGCATCGAATAGCAATTATCAACTGCGTATAGGTAATGAATAAATAAATACTTAAAAATAAATCAATATAACGATCTACATTTGAATCTATTACTTCTATAAGCTACAAACATATTCTAACCAATAGTTATAACGATGTTTTAAAAATAACCCTAAATGCAATTCCAAATTAGTTGAAATGTCCATTGAATGAACTTGTACCAAAAAATGTCCACATAAACTCTGGTAGTCAGTTGACTCATACTTGGTAATACTCGGCCAGACCATTTACTTGATGCCATTTTATTTATTCGCTACTGGACAATAACACACAATGGTCAATGATATTCCGACCGAAAATCCTAAGGGGCTAAGGAAGCGTGCAATAATCCTAACTAAATCCCACCGCGTACATGACGTTTACAATAGTCAACTAGATGCGCTTTTGCTCGTTGAACACTGCTATAATTGTTTAAAATTAGTTTAACAAAAAATATATGTATTCTGTTTGTCAATTACTATTGAATTAAAAAATTCCTTGAAAAAAGAATCTCTAGTGGTACATTTTGTATCAGTTTTCCTATTTCACGTCACACATATCCCACATGATCTCACTGAATTTAATTGAATTAACATTCTTTTTTATATTTAAACAATTGTATTTTATATAAAATATACCTTAAATGTTTTATCCATGGTCTTATTTCGATGTTTTCTTTCCAATATTTCAAAGAATATCGTTGTTAGTCGTCCTAGTCGTCCTAGTGACAGCCATCGACCGGGCGTCTCCATTTGCAAATCTTCCTTGGACGTTCACTTCCGGTCTCCATGGAATTATCACTTTTCTGAATGCCTTCCGGAAATTTTCCGACAAGAACGCGTATAATATTGGATTTAGGCATGAGTTGGTGTACGCAAGACAATGGCTGACTATCTGGACGATAACACTGATCGTCGTGATTTCATAATAGTTAATGCTTTTTAGCACCAATATAACCTAAAAAAAAAACACAATAATATKACTTGATATACGTAAATTAAATAGTATAAATAGTAATASTATATTTTATAGATAACATGTGATTATTTAAACATAACAAAAAAAATTATTAGATATTCAACACGTTTTATATTAAATATAGATCTGTCTTATCTATATTGTATACAGTATTGTATATAGTTATTAACAATTTGATAAAAATATACATAAATGTATACAAGTGACGATTATCGAGGAGTGTATCTATATAACAAGCAGCTGAAATGCAATGTAAAGTAATACGTTCAAGTAAATTCATACAAGTCAAAAAGAATTACTTTTATGTATATGACTATTTTTAAATTTTTTTTTATCTGTTAAAACTTAAACAACGAWGGTTATTTGGCCTACTTGTAAATTTTATATAGATGTTACGAGTAATGCAAAATAACATTATATACAATTTTTTCAAATTTTTACAATTTTTTACTAAAGTTTATAAAAAAATGTATATATTTCTATTTTATTGTTTTCTTCGTAAAGTAACTGTTATAGCGAGGCTGAAATTATAAATATTTTTCTTAGGGTTTTACCGGTTCTTTGGTGATGAGAAGGGGCTTGAGAG